AAAAAAAAAAAAAAAAAGGTATATGTATCTTTTCCCAAAAGCCATCAAAAATTTAAAAACTTATTTTCTATTTTTTTGTAGACACAAGGTCTCACTATGTTGCTCAGGCTGTTCTTGAAATCCTAGGCTCAAGCAATCCCCCCACCGCAGCCTCCCAAAGTGCTGGGATTACAGGCATGAGTCATCAAATTTAAATAAAAGCTCTATTAGCTCCCTTCCTCCTTTCTACCGGCCCCTATACTTTCCTGGTATCTTTCTCCACACTGGAAATCATGAAGGGTCAACAAGTGACCCAGTGTATTCTCTTCATGTAATTTTTTTTCATTCAGATGTTAGGGATTTTTATTTATAAAAGAATGTCTAACAAACTGAATAGATTAACAATGGAGATTAAGTTGTTGGCTGTCTGCACTTAAAAATTTCAGCATGGTCAAAAAACGACTTTTTCTATGACTCTCTTTTCATTACAGGAATTCTGACACAGCGTAAAACAAACCAGTACAATAACAGCCAACATTTATTGAGTGTTTACTATGTGCCAGGTAATGAACTGATCACCTTACATATGTTATTTCATCTAATGATTTAAAGTAAGCGTTTCTGAGAGTTGTGCATATCTGTAAAAAAAACTCTTCAATTCTTGCTGATTAGCAGGTGTATCCATCCCAGAACGTTCTTCTATCACCTATGATTTGGTCACCTTGAACCTGTGAGGTAAACTTATTGCCAAACATGATATCATTCATAAGGTCAACCAGATGACTTCACCATAGAACAGCCAGGAGGAAGCACGTGAGATTTTGCTCAAACATTTCATTAAAGGCAAGAGTTTTGAGAAAGGAAAGAACAATATTTTGACAAAATATTCCATTTCAAGCGAGTTTATTCTAGCATTAATGTCGTTTACTAACAAGTTGAAGTTTAATAGTACTTAGGTATTGGTTAACAAAAGTTAGGCAAACAGCCGAAAGAATAGCTAAGGCTCTAAAAGTTTTTGTGAATTTTAAGGCAGCCAAGAATTTATAAACCTGCAGTACGTGCTTTAAGAATATGTACTATCTTTATCCCTTTTTTTGCCCATCCACTTCATGATTCAGTTGCACTAATGTCCCTTTAGGCTGTAATTATAATGTTCTGACTCTCTAGTTCAGTTCAGAGATACAGTTTCAAATCAGCATGAAGATAATCAAGTAGGAAACATTTAAAGGGATAATCTAAGCATTATTTTTCAGATAATTATTTCCCAAACTATGCTACTGGGGTGAAGATGGGGTGAGGGATTTCAAAGCTGGAAGTATTTTTTCTTAAAATTTCTTTCATACAGTTTGTAAGAAAAATTTCAATCATATTTACTCAGTTATTCTTAAGAAATAATCTGTACCGGGCACGGTGACTCAAGTCTGTTATCCCAGCACTTTTGGAGGCTGAGACGAGAGGATTGACTGAGTCAGGGGTTTGAGACCAGGCTGGGCTGGTCTCTACAATACATTAAAAAAAAAAAAAAAAGAGAGAGAGAGAGAGAGAGAGGGAGACAGAGAGGAGGTGGGAGAGGGAGAGAGATAAAAAGAGAAAGAGGGTAGGGGAGGGAGGGAGGAAGGAAAGAAAGGAAAAAAGGAAGAAAGAGAAAATCTCCCATTTAAAACATGGGAAAACAAGACAGTTTAATGAGAAGTCACTTGCTACATAACATGCGACCCATGGACTAATTAATGCCTGACCCCATCATTACAAGGATGCATGCAATTTATTTGAAATTATAAAATACATGACTACCAAGTATTTTGTCTTATTATTTCAGCATGTATGTGTGATTTTTTTGTTGTTGTTGTTGGAGCCTCACTCTTGCCCAGGCTGGAGTGCAGTGGCACGCTCCTGGCCACCGCAGCCTTGACCTCCTGGGCTCAGGAGATCCTTCTGCCTTAGCCTTCCAAGTAGCCGGAACTACAGGTACACGGTACCACGCACGGCTTATTTTTTGATTTATTATAGAGACGAGGTCTCGGCAAGTTGCTCAGGCTGGTCTCAAACCCCTGAGTTCAGGCAATCCTCTAGCTTCAGCCTCCCAAAGTGCTGGGATTACAGGCTTGAGCCACCACGCCTGGCTTGTGATGTTTTCATAAAATAAAGTAATTTAATTTTTCTAATTTTTTTTCCTGCTCTAGTTTATGATTTAAATTTCATAGCCATCATTCTGAGATCATTTTTATGTGTGTCTACTTTGATCCTAGTGTGCAGGGCACCTCATGAGTTCCTGTGACTGTTCTGTTAATACACCATTCTACTTTGTAAAGTCTGTTGTTGTCAAGTAAGTTTGAGAACTATTGCGCTCAACTGGTTTTAACGATCCATTCACCTTTAGGAAGAATGGCACCGAAAGTGGCATTATGTGTAACAGAAACAGTGGCTTTGCTCCTAGACTTAATCACTGTAATAGACTTAAAAGCCCTTTCATCTCATCTCACTTTAATATTTGATAATCGTATCGACTGAAAGACTAAAAAGGCTGTGTAATGGATTGGCAAAAAACAGGATAAATTCACCTGACATAAATGTTGTTGCTCGTTCCAATTAAGCCATCCATCTAATGACTAATGCATGAAACACAAATGTGATTTGCTTAAAATCTTTTAGTGACTTTCTCCTGCTGCATGACAACATCCAAGCCCTTAGCAGTGGCATCTAAAGCTATTCCAGACCTCACCCTGGCCTCCACCTGCCTCTCACCACTGCCTACGTGTACCTCATGCTCCAGCCAAACCAACAAACCTGCAATTCCTAAGTGAGCCACTATCTCTGGTTTCCAAACTTCTGTTGTGTCTGCCTGGAATGCCCTTCTTTTTCTAACTCAAATTTTCCCTTATTCACTTGGCCTATTTCCACACATTCTTCAAGACTCAGCTCAGACACCACCTTCTCGAGGAAGCCAGATTAAATGTCCTCAGTCTGAGCTTCCATGGCCCCAAATCACAACATCAGTCAACCTACAACTCATCTCTCTACTCTGTTTCCTTTGTACATAAAGACCACATGGAATGGTCTGTCTATAGCTTTTAAGCTTGGTATCTTCTATGCTTAGCATAGTGCCTACTTTTCAAAATTCTGCGTGGGAGAATGGGACTGGCTTGTATCAAATGTGTTAAATACACACTTAAATTTTTTTCCTCTTTTAATTTTTATTTTAAAATTGTGGGGTAATACACACTTAAATTAAGAATATATAAGTACTTTTGGCCAGGCACAGTGGCTCAAGCCTTTAATCCCAGCACTTTGGGAGGCTGAGGCGAGAGAATTGCCTGAGACCAGGAGTTCAAGACTGCCTGGGCAAGACTCCATCTCTATAATAAATCAAAAAATTAGCCGGGCGTGGTGGCTCATGCCTATAGTTCCAGCTACTTGGAAGGCTGAGGCAGAAGGGCAGAAGGATCACTTGAGCCCAGCAGGTCGAGGCTGCGGTGGCTGTGAGCGTGCCACTGCACTCCAGCCTGGGTAACAGAGTGAGACTCCAACTCAAAACAAACAAACAAAAAAGATTTATAAGTACTTTGAAGACAATATCTCTATAATCAAATAGATTTTAAAACATCACTTCAGCTCTATGCTCTCTGAGCATCTGCTGAGCAAAAAAATTTTCCAATGAAGGCTCATTATTAGGTCAGCTATAAGCTACAGAGCTCCCCAACCAAAAACTATGTGACCTGCAAAAATGACAATCTGTCCTGGCAGCTGTTACCAAATTCCCAGACACTCTACAGCCTAGAGTTAGAGTTGTTTCTAATTTTAAGCATCTAATTTAGAACACATGCTTCCTTGGCAACTGGACATCAGACTTTTCAACCTACCTTGTCTCCCTCCTGATGGGAGATGCAGACCTCAGGGCCTGGGGGCACATTCTCCTTTTGCTCCAATTTATGAATTTTGATTTCACCACCACTGGTTTTCAACTCATTCTACAAATAAAAATAGTCTATGAATTTTTTGAAAAAAAAGTATCACCATTCCTTTCTCTTCATAGCACATCCATTAAATAAACTTAGAATGTTAAAAAAAAATTATTCTAAGAGGCCTCAGATCCAATCAGCCCTCTAACTCTCACAAGCAAAACCCATTGACTAGTGAAGGAACAAAAGCAGCTTTGTGGACACATACCTCAGAGTTAAATATTTGTAGGCTAGTCTAAAACCAGGATGCTCATTAGAACACAGACACATCAACACAGACACACACACAGGCCACCCCCAGCATACAACGTTCTTGTGATTCACTCTTCTAGCAGCAGAGCTTGTGGGAATGCAAAGCTTGTGAGTTTTATCGAAAAGACCATTCTGGAGCAGGGGAAAGTAGATGCCAAGTGCCAATAATTAAGAAAATATACTGACCATATATATATAAATGCTCGGCCTGGAAAGAGAGACGGGGATGATGTATACATGTAAAAATTGAAATTAGATTTAATGATATCATAAAACAACCTTTTTTTGTGAGATGTTCAAAACATGTTTTTAATATAAAATTCATATATTATGAGGGAAGATATACCTTATTCAACTTCTCAAGACAGAGCCCCAACATAAAAAAGCATGCATCAACATTGTCATAAAGAAGGATAACTGCATTTTTTTCCTTGCAAAGAACACTGGGGCTGAATATTAAAATTAACTCCTCTGCTAAATCCAAAATCAACATAGTGGTAAATGAATGTGGATATTTCCTGCCTTTAGTGTACTAAGAATTTAGTAATCTAGTGTCTTTCTTTTTCTGTGATTTTTTTTTTTTTTTTTTTAAGTAGGAGTCTCTTGCCCAGGCTGGAGTGCAGTAGCAGGCTCACAGCCACTGCAGCCTTGACCTGCTGGGCTCAGGCAATCCTTATGCCTCAGTCTTCCAAGTAGCTGGAACCACAGGCGCACGCCACGATGCCCAGCTGATTTTTTGATGTATTGTAGAGACAAGGTCTTGACAAGTTACGCAGGCTGGTGTCGAACCCCTGGACTCAGGCAATCCTCTTGCCTCCACCTCCCAAAGTGCTGGGATTACAGGCATGAGTCACTGCACCTAGCACTTTCTCTGTGATTTTTTTTTTTTTTTTTTTTTGAGTTGGAGTCTCTGTCGCCCAGATTGAATGGAGTGCAGTGGCACTCTCACAGCTATCCCAGTGTTGACCTGCTGGGCTCTGGCGATCCTTCCGCCTCAGCCTTCCAAGTAGCCAGAACTACAGGCGCATGCTAACATGCCCAGCTAATTTTTTATTTATTGTAGAGACAAGATCTCGCCAAGTTGCCCAGGCTGGTCTCAAACCCATGGGCTCAGGCAATCCACTTGCCTCGGCCTCCCAAAGTACTGGGATTACAGGCTAAGTCACTGAGCCTGGCCTCTCTGTGACTCTTTAGGCATGGGAGAAGCAAGTAATTTATGGCCACAGGGCCAATGAGGGGAATGTTGAGTGTGACTGACCCACTCAGGAATGGTATTCCAGATTAAGGAGGTCTGGAGGCACATCTGTGAGGAGGAGCTGGCATCCAGCAACACAGAGCACATTACAGTCCAACAACTTGTTCCTGACCCCGCTCTAAGCCCCACCTTCAGAACCACTACCAGAGAGTATGTGCCTTGTTACAACCATATTCTGTGAGGGGCTTGGGAAATTCTTTGGGGATAAGATAAAATGTATTTTTACAAGAATTCCTAAAGATTTTTCAACTCTTAAAATCTCCAGGGCAGGAGAACTGTAATGCAGAAACTAGCTAGGAGTTTAAAAAAAATTTGTCACTGAACAGGTTTTCCCACTTAGGGAGTTACCTGGTCAGAGTGTTTGCAGCAGGAAGGCATTGAAAAGCAGCAAAATCCTGTAACGAGGGGAAATTAAGCTTTGCTGATCACCTATTTGCTGTATCTTCCGACCTGCCTTCTAAGGGAAGTTTAAATTTGCCCATTTCTCACACAGTGAATAATGAGCTGCCTGTGATGTTCCACTTTGCTGATTTACACACATCAGCTCTTCTCAAAACTACAGCAAAAAAAATCAAGATAAAACAGCTCATTGTCCGGAGAATCAGAGTACCAAATACTACTGGAGAATGCATACTTAATTACCTGGGAGGAAAAAGGCTTAATTCCTGAATACATGTTATGATTTCAATCTCCCTAGGAACAAAAGGTTAACACTATCCTTCTAACGTCATTAAAAAATTAGGACATCAAGAGATAAATGGTTTGTAATTTGAAATCTTAGAAGGAAATGTCTGAAAGATACAGATCTACATGTGTGTACATGTATATATACGTGTGTGTACATATGAATAAATGGCATTTGAAAGATAACTTCAATTAAGCAGTTCTGTAGTGACAGCTTGCCCGACAAGCACAGAACAATATAAGATGGTGAGACCCTCCATTCTATTTAGAACACCAAATTTTTGTGCATATTGAGCACATCATCTTCCTGTCATTTCTCCCCCGTTTTCTTATCTGCTATTCTGCTTCTTTAGGAAAACATTACATCATAAGAATTAAAGGTTAAGTAGACCATATATTATATGATTCCTTTATATAAAATGGCCAGAAGAGCAGACACAAAAAGACAGAAAGTAGATTAGTGGCTGCCAGGGGATGAGAGAAGGGAGGATTTGGAGTGACTGCACAGGTATGGGGTTTCTTTTTGGGATGATGGAAAGGTTCTGGAATTAGACAGTGGTAGTGGCTATACAATCTTATAAACATACTAAAACCACAGATTTGTATACTTTAAAATGGTGATTTTATGTTATGGGAATTATATCTCAACAAAAAAATGACAAAAAATCTCACAATAATGTTGAATGCATACATTATTTTTTCTCCAATTTTCTCCCCTCAAAAACCAAAACAAGAAAAAAAAAAGTTTGTCAAAACAAATAAAATACTACTTCCTTAACAACAGCAAAAAGATTAAGTAGAAGAGCCAGGAAAACTCTCGATGACATGATTGACTGGTAACGTCACCAAAAAGAGAGTGGAGTGTGAATGAGGGCTAGGGAAGACATGTCAGATTTAGACCACAGGAAAAATGATAAATGAAGCGGAGGGTAGAATTTATGAGAAAAGAGAATGGCTAGAGGACCAGGGAAAGGACCAGGGTTCGGATGTAAGAGACTGGGGGATATTTTCTAGCTCCAGTGGCCATGTGATGAATGAGTGAATGAACGGAGGATGCAGAACACATACTGTATAGTTGGTTGAACTGCTTTGTTTGGACACCGCTGCCTGGTACTTGGCCATTCGATCCTTTATGGAGGTTTCAGAGAGGCGTGGAAGTTCCAGATTTCGCCTACTCTCGTTTTTCTCTGAGTTGAATGCAGAAGATGATAACTGACCTGGAAGCATCCAAACACCACGTTTTATTACAAGATAAAAGTGTAATTCAAATGGTTTCAAGATTCTAAGATTTGGGCCATTGTAATCCAATGGCCAATTTCTTCTATTAAAAGTACAAAGAAGGAAATCAGGGACATAATTGTTACTTATTTATTTTTTTCATAGAGGTGGAGGTCTCACCATGTTACCCAAGTTGGTCTCAAACTCTTGGGCTCAAGTGATCCTTCCACCTTGGCTTCCCAAAGCGGTAGGATTACAAGTGTAAGCCACTGCACCTAGCCAAGTATCATCTACAAAATCATTTACTTTCCTAACATTAAAAAGAGAACCCAGCCAGGCTCGGTGGCTCAGTCTGTAATCCCGCGCCTTTGGAAGGCTGAGGTGAGTGGATTGCCTGAGCCCGCGGATTCGAGACCTGCCTGGGCAACTTGGTGAGACCTCATCTCTACAATAAATCAAAATGAGCCGGGTGTGGTAGTGTGCACCTGTAGTTCCAGCTACTTGGAAGGCTGAGGTGGAAG